AGATGCTTCCTTTGAATCGCCAAGGTCATGAGGCCAGTTCTCAAGGTCAAGAATCAGTGGCATTCAGATTATTTTTTAGACTAATTAAACCAGCCAATATAAAGTAAATCAGGCTTCAGAATTTCTGCCTATAGTGAGAAGAAAGGGGAGAGGGGAAAGAGAAAAGACTTGTTCCTTATCTCTCTTTGACAAGTGGGGAGTGACTACCCTGAAATCATAAGAAGGGTTTTCTTCCTTTTGTATTCCCTTCCCCTTGTATGTACAACATTTCTCTGCCCTCAGCTAGTTCCTGTGCATTCATCTGCACGTAAACTAGGGCTGGTCTTCCCTACCTCTCAGCATATGTTTTGTTGCAGAGAACTGCAGTGAAATCTTTCCCCCCCGCCCCCGAAACACATTGCACATCTCCTAGCTGCACATTATGGAGCAATATTACTGTGAACAAATGGACAGTGGTCAAAATACATGAAAGTGGCCCATGTTGAGATGCCTATTTTTATGTATTGTTTGTGTACTACATGGTCTGCAATCCAAAGCCTACTAAAGTCACTGGGAGTCCTTCCATTGACTTCAGTCGACTTTGGATTAGATTCAGAAGGCTGGAAAACCAATTATCAACCAGGAGTTGTCTGAATTTAAGGGAGTACAGTTGTGCCATGTCTACTCCCCCAACCTTTTTATTTTCTTCAAAAATGCTTGATAGGTCATTAGTTTCTGTAGTGGAAGACATCCAATTTATCAAGACACTGTTACAAGCTAAGACATGGTATTCAGAGTATATTCACTTTTCTACCATCTTGAAACATTACTAAGGCAGTTCCTTTTGTCAGGATTTTCCCCCTCAGCCCTCTTTGTGTTTTTCTTTCACATGGGACAAATTAATCCTGACACGTGAATTTTAAAGGAATGTTTATTATTTAGCTGTGTAAAGCACTAAGTTATTTTACACACAGGAAAAGGGAAAACCGTCTTCCTGATGAATAAGTTAGCAATATAAGAGTGTCTGTCTGTGCATCTCCAAAAGCTAAAGTATGAAAAAAGCCGAGGTCAGGATTTTCAGACTTCAGCATCTGAGGCTGTGTACAGAAGTTGGTTTTTTTCTGCCATTTAAAGTACTTTATTGCTGTGACCTAAGAGAAGTGTATGGCTTAACAGCGCTTTAAAAAGTAGGTACAGCACTTTAAATTAACCCTTGTTAAGTGAGATATTAAATTTGAAGTGCTGTACTTTCCAGCACTTTAAATAACTTCTGTACATTGATTAAATTTCTGATGGGTGGAGAAGCCCCAGGAGGCTGTGAAGCGCCCCCTGCCACCTAGCCTGGGAAGTGCAGGGAGGGTCAGAGCCTCTCCCCCACCCCGCCACCCAACACTGCACCCAACACTGCACTTCTGTCACGTTTAAGAGCACTGTAACTTTATAGTACTATAAAAAGTGCTCTAAATTACAGCACTGTAAAATGTTCGTGGAGCACTTCTGTATACACCCCAAAACAGGGTACTTTTCGTCCACATTTTGTTCATCAAAAGAAAGTTAAGGTGCCATATCCCAGCCAGAGCAGGGGTCCTCTTTGTTGATTTCCATGTTCAAATGCCAGATTTGAACCCTGAGCACATAGTTAATAAATAAATACATAAATTTAAAAAAAATATCCCCTCTCCCTTTTCTCCTCATCAAGAAGCAAAAAATAATAAGTGACACCAAAAACATTCATTTGGAGCTATTGATGTCACCACTCACTCTGTTTAAAGGCAGTGTTTTGACTGTGTCATTTCTCCTGTCTCTCCATGTTTCCATTGCTTCAAAGAACTTTAGGGAGGCGTCTGCTGTTTTCAGCATAGAAGAGAAACAAATGCACACTGTGAAGAATTGAATTACATTTATCTGATGGATTTGTTAAACATTTTGAATAGAGATTCCCCAGCCAGGCTGAACCAAGATTGCATTGTCATTAGCTTATACTGGCCCACAACAGAACCACAGACCCAAATTCTTCCAAATGCTGGAATATGCAAAATCCAGACACGAGCTCCCAGCTTTGCCATTGCAGCCCATCTGGATTTTCACAGATTCAGTCGTATCCACCGTGCATTAATGAAAGCTCCGGGCCCCAATTCTGCAACAGCGTTGGTATGGTCATATCATTGGGGTGCACTAGTGATTTCTAGGGTATTCTTAGCTGGTCTTTGGGTTTTCCTGAAGAAACCTTATACAGGACAAGGCTGCAGTGTGCATTGGATGCCCATATACCCAGTGGAGGGGGGGAAGCTTAAAGGGGCCTTCACAGTAGGCAGTTACAAAGAGTTACAAAGCCTCCACGAGGATAATATCAAAGAAAACATTGATATTATTGTCTCTGTTATAGCTTCCAATCCTGACAAACCAGCAAATTTTGAAGAAAAAAAACCCCCCAAATAAAAAAGCCTGACTCAATATCAGAACAAAATGCCTTTCAGGAGATATTTAGAGATTTTAATCTTTCCAGGTTATCAAAAGTATTCTTCTTAACGGCAACTTGATTACAGTGTCCAAGTGCCATCGCAAAACACAGTGAAGACTGAAGGGCCCCAATCAGCAAAGGCTGAATGTTGAAGCCAGGCAAATTCAAGTTAGAAAAAAAATAGGCACAAATTTAGTAGTGAGAGTGACTGGCTGTTGGAATAAAGAGAGCAAGGGAAAAAGTGGAGTCCTCTCTCTATTGGCATCTTCACACTGAGACTGGGTGCCCTTCTAGAAAGCGTGCTTTAGCCAAACACAAGTCATTAGCTTCAGCACAGGGGTGGCTGTGCCCACTTGCCCCTACTGATGTCTGGGGCGAGCAGATGAGCGCTATTTTCCTTTGATCATAGCACAGTCTGACACTTCCTGTAGCAGAGATGTCACACCTCCCATTCTCGCCCCTCATCCATCAGTGCCACCTTGTTTCAGGCAGATAGTGCGGCCCTATCTCATTCTCTTTTTCGGGAGAGATGCATTCAGGCAAGTCAGGCCCCTGATTCACTTAAGTATTTAAGGATTCACACGAGGCACTTTTCTGTATATTTAAGCCTGAACATCTTTATAAATTGAGCCACTGGACACCAGACCCTAATTCCCCTTGATTTTTAATGCATTAGGCTCAAAGTTAGACACCAAACCGCCACTGATTTCAACAGGAGGATAGGCACTTACTTACACTTGTGTATCTGCCCCTAAGTCTCTAAGGAGTCTAAGTGATTTAGGCACAGTAACCAATTTGAACTTCAGCTCCTTACAAAATTAGTCGCTAATAAGGTCTCAAAATATTCAATATTGTTTGGAATTTCTTAGGGAGCATGCTCCTACTCGGCATGGAAGGGGTGCTGGGAAAGGTTTCTCTCTGTTTTAAGACGCACATCTGAGCTCTGTTTATTACGATACAGTAATGAAATCCTTTGGTGACATTCCCCAGTCAAGCGTGAATTCCCCAACAAGGCCTGCTGCTCAAATGGTTAAATGATTTACACCCAGATAAGTGGGAGGGGGATGGTCCCATTCTGAAGGCCAAGCAGCCTGACAGCCGGAAAGGAGAATGTAATAACTCGCATCACTATCGCTCAGTCCAGGTTGTCCTATTTGATTTCCTTTCCATTCGTAAATCTGAGATCAGCTTCTGAAACTCAAGATAGATCCCAAGAGGTCTTTGAAAATTCAAGGCCTTTCAAGTGGAAGCTTGGTCTTTACTAGCATTTCTAGCTTTTAGTCTTCTCTTGCTCCGTTCCGTCCCTAAAAATACACACATTCTTTAGCATCTCTGTCCTGTTCCATCCATCAGCTCTACGCTATGCATGTCCATTACTATTGTAGTCACAGTTTCTTGCTGGGCAAATAAGATCTTTTTTCTGGGACAAGTTTCCTTTGCAGGACTCACTAAAACAGGGCCAAGGGGGCTCTACAAGTTGTGCCTGCAAAAGTGGTGGGGTAGGTAGAAAGACAATTTGCAGAAGTCCAATTTTACCACAGGGCTCTGGCATTTGCTGCTGTCTGTGTACAGGAAAGAAAAAAGGAAGAATTTGAAGGAAAATGTGATCGATCACACACACACACACACACACACACACACACACACAGACACAGACACACACCTTCTCTCCTCTCCCAAACAATTTTCCATTGTGTGCATGTGTGGGGAGGGGGGACGGGAGAGAAAGGAGGTGTGAACAAAGAAGCAGGAGTTAACAGGAGAAGGGCAATAAATTAGTTTGGGATAAAAAAAGAGATATTTAATGACAGGGCTGGCTGTTCCACTTCCAACAGTTTTCAGGGGTTGTTTTTCTCTCTTCTTCCTCCCCCCCAACTGTACCACTAAAAGAGGGGAAAAGAGAAAAGAACAAAATATAAAGAACAAAAATGCAAAAGCAGTTTTGTTTCATGATGTTTACTGGAAAAAATACAATATGGAGGGGGGAGTAACTTTTTTCTATCTCCCTTCTGGGGGGAGGGGGAAAAAAAACAATGAATTTTTCCATCAGAAAAACATCTAAGAAGAAAACTCTTCCAGCTGTGTGTAACAGAGCGTGTAAGACAAGGTTCTGCCACCTTTATTCTCGTCAAGTAGCTCCATGCCCTGGGAAGAGCCCCGTTGGGTCACACCATGAAATCCTGGCTCACGAGGAAGCCTTGAAGTCAGTGAGAGCCTGCCAGGGTGAGCTAGGCATTCCCAGGCTGGGCCATATATTTCTACGAGATGCTAGGTAAAATGCTAGCATGAACGACTAGTGGTGAATGAACCTGGCCTTTAAATACTCCATGCCTCCCTACTTTCAGGGGGCAATTTCCTCTTGATTCTGGTGAGCAAACCTACTTCTTACTTTCTCAGAGCTACTTCGACCCAATACTGCACCACGGGAGTAAATGGGAGTCACAGCCTACAGCAAGCACAGCATGTGGCTCTGAAAGAACAAGCACCTGTTATTACTGAATCAGTCAATCCCCTAGTCTCTAAAAGTTCACCACTCTGACCATGTATCATTTCTTTCCAGGAATAAGAACTGGGAAAGGAGAATTCAGAAGAACGTCCAGCCATCGTTCCATCTATTTTGGGCAATGGTTGCATAACCCACACGAAGACTGCAAGCGGCTTTTTTGCAGAGACCCCTTTCAGGACAACAGTTGGCTAAGGGACAGTCTCAAATCTCTGGGGGGAAAAAAAAAGATGGGAGTGTTTGTTTTGTTTTGTTTTGTTTTGAAGCCAGCCACCTTTTAGTATGTGCAATTTATTTAGCACTTTTCCCTTTGCTTAACAGGGAAATGATACCTTCTCAGCTCACCTTGTACAGTGGTGTTGTTGGTGTTGTTGTTGCTGTTGTGCCAAAGATTTGATGGAGCTTCTACACCGCTTCTTCATTTTGCCTTAACGTTAAATCTTCGAGCCAAAGACAAGTCAGAAGTTGTGTTCAGATCATGTTGAGCGGGCCATTTCTTAGTGACAAATCACAATTTCCAAATCCTTCTGTAAGTCTCCTCCTATTTCTCCTGTCCATAGTTATCTGCTTGAAGCACTGGAACCAAATGCTCACAGTGGGGAAAGAGCCAGGACACACCAATACTTGCTCCAGAATCGATTTGTTTTCTTTCTTTCTTTTCTTTGAGCAATTCCATCATTCTGTTTCTTTGGCAATTACCCTATTTTCTTTCCTGCTGTGAAACACGTCCACAGGGTAGAAATACTGACAGAGTGAGACCTGAAACATGAAATGTGCTTTTTAAAAATATATATATTATATATATATATATATATATAAAAGTAAATAAAAATAAGTGCCATATAAAGCAATAAAAAGAGAATCAGAAGAAAGTTCAGATACGCAGAAGGGAATGCAGCAAAGCTATTCAGAGGTTGTTTCAGTTCTGTGAAGTGATTTTGGAGGGGGGAGGGAGGGGGAATCAAAGTGGTTAAAAACCCATGTAATGCAAAGGCATTTGAATCCTATATTGTACCTTTCACTTCAAATTGAAGTAAAAAAAAAAAATTGAGAAACATTCGCTTGGAGTATGCAGACTTTGTAGGTAATACGGGATGTATGCAGGACATCTGCTAGCAATGGAACAGAACTCCATGTCATAGTGAAGGAATATGGGTGCTTGAAGAAGGGCAGATTCAATGTTTTGCTTCCACTCCAGGGTAAAGGTTATATATGATGGGACCAAATTCAAGTCTTAGTTATACCAGCATAAATCAGGCTATTTGCTGTCCAATTTACTCCAATATAGAGGATTCTTAATCTGGTCCTGTATTTGTATGAAGCCAGATGGTTGTGTGTTGTGGGGCGAGACCAGGGTCTCTTATTATAAGCATATCATTCTTCACAGTCCAAATTCAGCCAGGTAAAGGGATTCCATGGTTGCACTTCCCAATGCAGATCTGGGACGTGAAGGGCTGGTTTGATTGCATGATGTCCTCCCTGACAAGCGCTTGAACATCCATGACTGCTGGGCTCGGGGCAGAAGGCTCATTCACCAAACATATGGCAGAAATACCCAAAGCACACTCAGATTCACACCTGTGAATGGGAGATGACATCTCCCACCATCCACAGGGCACGTTGGCATCCTGGCATACGAGTGCTGCTACTGTCAGTAGAGCAACCATAAAGAAATCTTCAGTGAATCGCTGTCAAGAACAAAGGGCTATGGCCCCTTTAGAGAGATACTGCTGAGAGGTAGCGGAAGATGGGTGGAGAAGTACGAGCTGATGGATTTGGCATGGCCGAGAACTAATAAAACAGGGAAGGAGGAAATGAAGGCAGGATGGATAGAGTATCTTCAGGCGAGTTCAGCTGCATCCCTGGGAGGACGTGGGACTTAGCAGTTTTGCTCAGAGGACTCCACAAATTCTTACATTAATTAAAAGCAAGCAGAACTCAGAACTGGAACTGCTTGTGGGAAATAAGTAGTACATGGGTTGCGGTGAGAGAAACGCACTGAACATCACCAGTTCCCTCTTTGGTGTGGAGCAGAGCTGAGTGAAACAATTCAGAGGGAAGACTTCAGTTGAGAAATTCATCTGCCCTGTTTGTTTATAAATAGTCTCAGTCTTTTTTAAAGTGTATTAGTCATGAATTAATTACCTCTCAAGTACTTTCTACTCAAGTAATTTATTAATTGCCTCTCAAGTATTTTTTGTTGCAACATGCAATGGTTGCAAGTTGAACTGTATTGCTGTGTTCTGATGGGGTACTTCCCAAGATATTGCTTTTTTCGTCCCCACCTTTAGAGAATAAAGGTCTTAAAATCAAGCCTTATATTTACAAACCTCAGAATTTACCCTCTTTGATATGCTTTACCCTTCACATTACATTTGCTGCTCTTACAGGACGCGCTCAAGCACTGGAATCGTCTTCACAAGGGGAACCGAACCAAAGCAGTTTCGGCTTTTTTGATTGTAGCTGTTCTCTCAGCTCTACTCTGGAGACATGTACCTATAGCTAATGCGCGGCACCCTTGCAGCGCGCGGCACCAATACCATTCCAACACCTAAGCTAGGTCTCACCAAGTAGGGGGGGGAAAAAAAGGGGTAACACATTAATTATGCCACTGACAAAAGAGTGGTAACAAGGCAGTTGGTTTTACTGAGAAGCAACGTAGCGGAGGACAGCAGCAGGCAGGGCTGCAGCGCTGACCTTACACCACCCCCTTCCAGTAAACACCACAAGTGCTTTGTCTCCACTTAGTATTTTATAACAAGATAAGGAGCTCATGTTCTGATCCGTCTGGAAAACGAAAACAAAGATGGGGAGGCAGGGAGGAAACCCTGCATGTCAGTACAGAAACAGCCACTCGATGGCCCATCGGCTGTTATAACAGGAGGGCAAAACTGCTGTTCCATCTCCAGAGTCTATAAGCAAGGAAATTCCTCTGGCAAGGGGGATCTTCCCTGCAATGGCCCAAATAGATATTTGCTGAAGGTACAAGAGAGTGTAAGTAAGAGAAGCTGCCCTGTAACTTGAAAGACAGAGCCAGGCCTTTTTTGGTTCAGTTGCATCAAGATGTTAAGCACACCAGCATTTAAGGAATAAAAGCACACCATACCCCTAAGGCTGCACTTTTATTGGTTGCCTACTTGTGTGCCCTTCAACTGAACTGGCTCGTTGTCACTGTTGTTCTTGCGTAAACTGAATGGACAATTTGCAAAAGCTCAACAGCGGTTGACCATGACCTACCACAAGGAAGAGAGAAGACACTGAGTTCAGTATGTACTGAACAGCTGATCTAAGCTAAATGGATTTCTAGTCTGAAAACGCATTTGTTATTGTAGTGTGCTGGGCGTGAGGACAACTAGCTGAGGCAGGTCATGCTCAGTCAGATTCTGCTTTCTTTCACATCCATGTCAAGGGTTGAGCCTACTAACTCCATAGAAGTCAATGGAATAATTGTAGGTGCACACCAGTGTGCTGAACCAGGGATCCAGCTACGGCCCCCACTGAAATACAAAAAGGAAAAGGTATATCCCATGCCCATAACAACAAGTATCATCTGACCTCAGAGCATCACACCTTGTTCGTGTTCAGAGCATCCATTGTGTGAGAATAGCCACTCTGATTAGACTCTCTCGCCATTTCCTGTATTTTTTATAACAGATACCGACAAAAACCATGTGAACTGGAGCAAACAGTACAAGTGAAACAAGCAGATATCCCAGGTTGTACCTGCACATTCAACTATTCCAATGGGAACAGCCCATTGAGACCTCATTTAATTCTTTCTTGCACCAAAATCTTGATGCTCATAGAATGCATCAAGCCAAACCGCGCTCTCCAGTACCAGCTGAGACGAATCAGGGAAGCTGAACCAGATTTACTCTCACATCACTGAGAGCAGAATACATTCCAAATTCTGGGCCGATTTACATCTCACGCTAACTGCAATGGGCTTGCATGGAGCAACTTCATACACGCTGTATCCCCTGCAGAACGGAAAAATGCATGTTCCAGAACGGGACTGAAGACAAGAGCACTCAGCATAAAACTCCTCACTCTGCATTGAGAAAATAGATGGGGTCTCAGTAGAGAGACCTCAGGCTGCAAATAGTATTTCTAGCTGTATGCGTCTTGAAATGTTTGTTGGTATTCTCCTGAAGGTAAGGGGGAACTGCTGCTTTCATTTCAAAGAGCATGGTTCAAGACATAATGGTAATAAAAGGCTGTCCAGTATGACTCCTGTGCACCCTAATGACATACAAGCCAGAAGGCAAAGGAAATGAACCCCAACTTTTTCTTTACTCTTATGGTTTTAAAGTCTGCGTCTATTTTTAGTGCTTGGTTGGAAGTGCTGCAAACAGCAGAGAACAATTTCAGCACGTCAGGATTTTAGTGCTGAATAATGCCTTGAAGTACATTGCATTCAACTGTATTGAAATCCTAGAATCATAGAAAATGGGGGCTGGAAGGGGTCCTCAGGAGGTCATGTAGTCCAACTGCCTGCTCAAAGCAGGACCAGTCCAAATAGATCACCCCAGCCAGGGCTTGGTCAAGATGAGCTTTAAAAACCTCCAAGGATGAAGCTTCTACAACCTGTCTGGGTAACCTGTTCCAGTGTTTTACTACCGTCCTAGAGAGAAAGTTTTTCCTAATATCCAACTTAAACCTCCCTTGCTGCAACTTGAGACCACTGCTCTTTGTTTTGTCACCTGCCACCGCTGAGAACAGCCCAGCTCCATCCTCTTTCAAACCCCCCTTCAGGGAGTTGAAGGCTACTTTCAAATCCCCCCTCAGTCTCCTCTTCTGCAGACTAAATAAGCCCAGTTCCCTCAGCCTGTCCTCAGAAGTCATGTGCCCCAGCCCCTCACCATTTTTGTCACCCTCTGCTGGACTCTCTCCAATTTGTCCACATCCTTTCTGTAGTGGGGGGTCCAAAACTGGACACAGGACTCCAGATGTAGCCTCATCAGTGCTGAATAGAGGGGAATTATCACTTCCCTTGACCTGCTGGCAACACACCTACCAATGCAGCCCAGGATGCCGGTAGCCTTCTTGGCACAAGGGTACACTGCTGACTCATATCCAGCTTATTGTCCACTGTCACCCCCAGGTCCTTTTTTGCAGAGCTGGGTCAAGGTAAGTTAGGGTGGATTTAGGCTTTTGGCATGCTGTTTGGGCTGCAGCACCAGTTCACTGGGGAAATAATCCATGTGCCTAGGCAACATTTCTATCCCATTGTATTTAGCAGACACTCAGCATCATGGGTTCTCAGCAGCAACTCCAAGACACGTCTAACAGACCCTAACAACATTAGAAAGGTGACCTTTTGGCCCTGAAAACTGGCAGGCACCACTAAGTAAAATCTAAACTTCCACTTACCTGGCTCCACCCTTGCAGCTAAGAGTCTGCCTCTGATACTTCCCTCTTACTATGCAACATCACCTCCCTTCCACTCTCCTTACAGTGGTCCCTTTAAGCCCACTGCAAAGGAGCTTCTGGTTCAAAGATCATCTTACCCTACAGCCTTATGAAAGAGAGCCAAAGATAATTATTTTATATGCCATAGCTCCTGAGAAGACTAGTCGCGAACTAGGACCTCATTGTGCCGAGCACTGTACAAACGCAGAAGAGAGTTCCTGCCCCAAAGACCTTACAGTATTAATATAAGGCAAAAGGCAACAGATGAAAACACAATAGAAGAATGAGGCGATAATGGTCGGCATGGCCAGCAGCAGTCACAGCACATAAGCAAGTTGTGTAGGCATGTCTTTTACTCAGACACATCTGGAAAGCTGGTATTTTCCACAGGTAGATTGCAATGAAAATTTCAAACCAGGACAGCTTTAAAATTCAGAAACTTGACATCTGAACCCAGATCCAAATTCCTATTCTTAGAATGAGGCAGCCCAAACTCAGATTCCTTAAGCTTTAATCGTGGTTTTCACATTTTAGATCTTGAGTTTTGTGTCTGAGTATGACCCCAAGTTGGGGGAGCCTCTAGATCTAAATGGTAGAGCTAGGCATGTGGGTCCAAGCTTTCAAACAATATTTTGACAGTTTTCAATTGTCTATTAAGATTTTTATGAATCTTCATAGGCACCTCTGCATCTTAGGGAACCTCGGTCTCTTATAATCCACACTATAGGACTTGATTCTTCTGTCTTGAGCACAGGTATGAGCCATGGCATGTCTTATTGCCCTGAATTTAACTGAGTCATGTTGCTGTAAAACTAGTGTAATGAGCCTCATGGCCTTAGTCCTCTGTGTGGC